CAATTATATGGTTATATCTTTGTGTTAGAATGGCAGGTGGTCTGTGGAAAGCGGTTATGACTACGGACTTGTAAAAGCCCGTAAAATTAAAGGTGAAATTAAGGCCCAAACTGTTGACTGCCAGTCTGAGATAGCTACTCGACAATGGATGAAAGATAGTTAATCAAACGGTACGTTCCAACAAGGCAGAATATTCGTGTATGAGACATGGAACGACTATTTGCTACTACCAAGTGTCGCGTGCGTTTGAAGGCGCTCAACTGGAATTTCATTAAAAAATCATATATAACAGTAGTATGATGCTATTTATACATGGTTCATAATCACAAAGCTGCATATGCACTAGCTAGAAGCAAAGGATACTTTCAGCAACGTTGTCTATCAGATGTTGTCTATTTATTTGCCCATATTGATGTAGGAGAGTTTCCTTTTCAAGCGACCGATCCGCCGTGATCGTCCAAAGCTGTTACTGTTTCGGCGCGACTGTTCAGCCGAAGTTCTGCGTCGACCAGAAGGGGCCCCATGCATGCTAGACCAGTGCATCAAAGGAGGCGTACATATGTTGTTAGTCAAGACGTTAACTAGTCATTTGTGCAGTGCGGTACATGTTGATACCTTATATTTATAGGGGGCAACAACAAAAGTTGCAGCCCCTACCCGCGATGAATGTCAATAACGCGTTCCAGTAGCTTTTCATAGCCTGTCTAGTCTACGTATGATCGCCGATTAGGTCCGCTCGCCCAACAGCAAGACTTGTCTCTTATTTTTATTTGCCGACATGTGGCTTGTAAGTGTCAGCTCGGCCGATTCAGACCGACTACGATCGTCGTTGAGACGTCCGCTCTGGAAAGAAAAAGCAACCTAACACAAATAATAATCTGGATTGTCAAACCCGATTACGGCGTCGTAACGAGAGCTCTATACGTTAGGAAAAAAGCGGAGCGCGACGGGGCTAGTGGTAGAATGTGGCAGACGCCTGTGATTACTGATAGTGGCAATTGTATTTGTTGCCGAAATATTTTAGCTAAAGAACGTGTGGCCGGGTGAAAAGAGCAGAAATAAGGTCGGAAAAGGTCGTTACTTTCGTCGTCCAACTCTATTGACGATTGTGGCACGATAGGTTGGATAACAGGTTAGTACGGTGCCAACTGTGGATGTCTCGGAACATGATTTGTAAATTATTAAAATAACTCTGAAGGTTATGTTGTGCGGTATAAACAAACGAATTTAAAGCTTCCAATAAGTCAACGCGATGCTATCATGTTCTCTGCTACTCTGACGATGCAGTTTTGTATTATTCAGAGGAGTCGACAATATATAATGCTCTTCAGTGATGTTTCTGAAGCATTATAACTAAAATTTAATATTTTAGAAGAGCAGTATATATTAATAAATGTATATTTTCGGCAATTCTACAAAAAGCGTATACGGTATAACTAAAATAGGATTAGGAACCTGTTGATTTCTTTATGTAATGGAAATGTTGCCCGTCCAGTTCTCTGATCTGAATTATTCATCTCTGTTTAAATAAGATATGTCCATTTCGCATGGAAAATGTTAGCAGCTTATATGAATAGCCATCGGTCGGGCATACATCGACACTCAGTCCATCTTACCTAGATAGGCATAATCAACGATTCAGTTAGAACTTCGTAGTTTATGCTGATGTGTGCCTGGGGCAATGTGTCGTAACCTATTAGGCCGAAAGAAGTTCCTCCTCATCCATGCACCCGCACCACGCTCCTTCAGTAATCATCGCACATCCATACTATAGCTAAGCTATTGGGCCGCTATACCTACAGGATTACGTCGACAACAATCAACATAGTAACTTCGTTTAGTGCGTGATCATGTTTTGCGCAGCTGAGAGGCCAGCTAAGTTCTCGAGCAACATTAGGCATTTACGCGTGACCTAAACTGTGACGCTTCTTGCCCCAAACCTTCTCGGCTACGACATGACGGCACACCTGTCTAGCCAGCTGATAGCCTGACTCGATCAGGAGCCACAAGGCGTTATTCTACTTTCTACGACGGTTCCACAGCCAATGCCACAGGCGTTGATGTGTCGCAAAACTAGCGTCGAAGCTCCGCTCAGGAAAACCAACGCCGTTATCATAAACGACATAATTACATTTCATAGCAGGGCTGCGTGGTATTGTCGTGCTCTTGATCCTACTGCAAAACTGCATTGGACTTACGACAGGCTGATGATCTGACGTTCTGCATGTGCACACCATCAGATTGAAACGGCAGTAGTGGCGGTCACCAGTGCACGGCACGCTCCTGCGTTAGGGCCTTGCATAGGCATCTATAATGGCCTACCAAAAATACCCTTGGACGATTGAAGTTAAACGATTTGTTTGGTGGTAAAATTTACTGTTGTATCAATGGATGTGTTATAACAATGCCATATGAAATTAGCATTTGCTCCCAACGGGAATATGCCGTATCCTAGTTAGGGCAATTGCGTTTGCACAACTTGGGTCCTAGTTTAAAAACTTTGGAAAAAAATGCCTCAGGCAACGATTTGATTTATTCGTTCCATCATAAAAGCACTGGCGTTAGTAACGCAAACAGTTTAATACTTGAGAGCGATCATCTAAGCTATTTTTTTTTTTGAGCAAAGTGACTGATAGCGATAAAAGTTGAGCGAGAAAAATCTAAGCTTGGTAGTTGTTTCTAGAGGAGCATTTTTATTGCACCAGTTCATGATTGCGTGCCAATCTATTTGTAAGAATCTAGCTGGTAATGATATGAGAAAGGAAGCATCTTTTGTTAGTCTGCTACTTGCCAGCAACGGTACAAGTTCACTTCGCACAGACACACTTATGGCCATGACCTGCGCCCTTGAAACGTACTGATTTTACCAGCTTGTTAGCATTCACTAAGCCATCGCGACCTTGCCTATGGACCTGTTCGTTTGAGGAAAGGACCGCCAAGAGTTACATCGCCTTGTCAACTCCACGTTCGTTATTGCTCGTAAAGCTGTCCTCGTAACGCTCAAAGGTCCTCCTTACAGGCTTATACGAATAGTCTTGTTATTCGCAGTAATTTATACTGAATAAATCGGGCTATATATCGAATATCGTCTACGCTCTCGAGAGGTCATTGTGTCAGGAGGATACGACAACCATCTGCTAGCGACAGAGTGTGCTCGGGAGACTTTGAAATTATATAGACCACTTCATATGTACCTATGCTATAGATATTGAAAACAATAAACTACTGAATATTACCTGCGTAGAACTCTCATAGAGTAAAAAAAAAAAAGGAAGAAGAATAATAATGCATAGAATCCAAACGATCGTCTAGGACGTGCCTGGATTATGCACGTTTTATTTCATTGCCTAGTTTTCCCAATTACATCCAGCTGATTCGTACAAGACTGACCTCTGAAACACTAGGTATAACGAAACCATCTCGATTAAATATCTGTTAGCCTTTTTTGGCGCTGGATAGTATACAACTTTAGCATGCTTTGTGCGTTAGAAGTAACGTTAACTACTTATAATTGGTTTTACCGAAATGTAAATTTATATATATATATATATATATGCTGACGACACCATGTATGACTGTAAATACTTTGTATGCATCCAAGCAGATTTGTGTTCTGTGCTATCGAAGCTCTGCGAACGTCAATACGATAATAAATACTTTTTATAATATTAAAATCAGTATACTGTTGAGGTTTAATACGAAGAAAAATGCTAACTTACGTTGTAGATGACCTTGAGTGATTTGTCACGACGGATTTCCTATGGACTTTTTTGAAGTTGCGCATTGAAGGGAAGCGACTGTTAGAGGCCAATAGTCTATGGGCCCCTACCAGAATGGAAAGTACTGCTTCTTTATTGTCGAGCTTGATTAGCGCACGGTAAGTGTATTTCCGGCTAAACATCTCTTGCTTTTGCACGCTCGTAGTACCTTGTACAGTGTAAAATCAAAGGAACCCACAAAATATGATTGGCACCGTATGGCTTTGTGTGAATCACTTGGACGCATACAAGGTATTTACAGTCACACATGGTGTCGTCAGTATTATATATATATATACACATACATATATTATATATGTCATTTTTTCCTAAAGCAGATCTTCTTGCAAGTTTCATGAGTCCTGGATAGATGGATTGTAGTCTATCCCGTTCGAAGAATAAATGGAAGACTATGGAATACAGTTATCTACATTTGCTGCATAAAACACAGCCAACGAAAAATGCACGTTAGCTCATTTTAGGATATTGAGGTCTGAAAATTTAGCTGGATTGTATCGTATGGACTTCAATCCTATTTGATGTTTTCCGTTTCTTTGCTTGTGTATTCAGTGTGCACTGATCGACAGTACAACGAAGATCCGTTCACGGGGAATCAGCTTTTCCAGTAATGCATTCTGTTGTCAAGCGATAACGGCAAGAGACAATACAAATAACCGTAATCGGAAAAAGCTGAAGAAGATTAATAGCATTTAAGCAAGTTACTTCCGAAAAAGAAATACTTCAAGACAAATTACGTGCCCACTGCACGCGAAGTAGACTTACAATTCCATCCGTTTTAACTACCCCATCCTTCAGCTTCACATCTGCCAATCCCCTTGATACAGACGTTTCTTTTCTGTCAATTGGTAACAACAGCAGTAGCCGGAGCAGGTGGAAACGATCATCGTAAGCGTCGAACTGAGACGTCAAAAAAATTTCCTTAGGCAATCATGTTGGAAGCTTGGCTAGTATTGACACATTGAATAAAATCATAATTCTGCTAACTATGTCTATGATGAAAAAAAAAAAAAATAGCGCTTTAATAACGATACCGTACTAGTTAGTTGACTAGAAATAAAATAACCAAAAATTGTAAGGATGATCCTTTTGTCAACTTTTATTATGACTAAGTTTTAGCTGCCGCTTGCTGTTATCAAACTGTTAACAAGGTCAGCTGACTTGCAATCTGGGGGGTGGAGGTATCTGGGTGTTCACCAAAGTTATTCATCATTTTACCTTATGTAAAATTGCCTTTCCGTTTTCTGATTAAACCTACTCAATTCGCTTGTTTTAGAACTCATCGCTTTTATAGTGTGATGTAGGTAAGGACTTTCCATGTTCCACCCGTTCGCCGCTAATAGACAATTGATTGGGAGACAATTGACAGCTGCAGGATAGTTTTTCTTCGCCTTTATTGCTGATGAGTTGTTATGGCATTGTATTATGTAGGGGGTTCCATGGAGATTGGCTTTGTCGGCTTTTTGAAGGAATGAATCTACAGTGTTTCTTCAATATTTGAACACCATTTTAGAAGCTTTTTTTTTTTTTTGCTTCAACACCTAGGATTTGCTGTTTGCTTGCAGTGGTCAAAAATTGGGTAATAGACACTCGATTAGTACAAAAAGAATGCAAAACTCCTAAATACGCTGATCAATTTTCAAGCAGTGGTTAATTTTTTAAGCGTCACATGTAGTAATATTTTTTTTACTGTTATTTAGCACGGGCATTAGGCCCACACAAAACAGTAAAAAGCAAAACAGTAGCGATTAGATTCAAACTTTTTTTAATGCCTGCTTATGGCCTTGACGGTATCTAAGATACCTTTAAAATGAATCCGGTTTAAACATATTAAATCATTGCTGATCCGACGATGAGATCGTTACTCTGGATAATATCGGCTACAACTGAAGAACTTATTCTAACAAATAAGCCAACCTGCACAGATGGTGCTAGCGCTTACGTTTTTGAGCCAAAGCGTCTCGTGCTTTATCGGTTACCTGCAAAATTTAACGAAAAAATTCGAAATGTCATAAACAGTCACTGACCTATGAAGAGCGCTCCACGTGGGAGCGTAAATGTGAAAAGGAGTTTAGCAAAAACTTAGGACAGGTCAAGGATGAAAAGAGTTTAATATACGTGTGCTATTTATAAACTACGGGTTGTTCTATAAATGTGTAAAGAACGTTAAGGGTGAGCGCTTAGAGACATAAGCACCCAGACAGAATTTGGGCCCAAACTGGGCCCCACAGATTCTTCTCGGTTTTCTATTTTTAAATATTGACGGCATGCAGAAATTCAGGAATGAATAACAGGGCTATAGTACTCGTATCTATAGAAGCTATTGAGATATGGACGGTCGTATGCATAAAGTAATCGGGATCGCTCGTTGCAATGGAGCTGGCGGTATTGAATTAAAAGCGTATTTTTATCTGAAAAGTACGTTTTTTAAACAAGAATAATGGTTCAACGAAGTAATTCAACAATAAATGCAGATATCTACTATATAAATAAATAAATCCTAAGAGAAATTGACCTTACTGTCCTTGACTTTTTTGACTATAGTGCAGTCATCCTTTAAAAAAGATCATAGGGCCTGTGGAAGAGCCGTGGTATCATTGGCCTGTATTTGTTTTTATTTCCAAATATTGTTTGGTTGCCATCTAATTCTACCACCGCCGCTATCTTGACAATCAGCTAAAGAAGGACTAATTGTACATAGAATACATAGATCAACTGGAAAACGTAATGATGTACGCGGCGGTCAGACATTACTGGGCATATTACCGCCGCTGTTACTCGTCTCGCCTGCTTTCTCACTGTTGTAATCTCTCTATTTCGAATAGATTGTGAAGGGCTGTTATCACGACAACGCTGCCGGTTCTTTTTTCGACCGGCATCGCATTCCAGTAGAAACTTAACATTCATAAAGTCCGCGGCCTGCCGCCGCTGTCTTAGTAGTCACGGTTTACTGCTGAATGAAGAGCGACCACAGCACAAGGTAATAACATCAACTAAATGCAGGAGAGATAAATTAAAACGCCTGACGATCTCTCCCAACCGTTCCGCATTAACCTCGTTGTTCCTGAAACGTCACAGTGCAGCACCAATGTATAGAATAACAACACGTTCCTGTTCCACCCTGCCTTTGATATTCATTTACCGTCTCCCTTTCGTTCAGGTTACGTCATTGCACGTATACGCATGCACGCTAATTCACACACGCGTCATCTAGCGTACCACCTCATAGCTCATTTTGCATCAAACAAAGGATTTTACCTTTTTTCATCATTCATCGAACGACCGACGAAGGCTTCGGACGATGGCCTACCGAACATCGGGTCAGGTCGCCTCGACGCAAAGCGGACTGACTCGTTGGTTGAGTGTCAATGTACTGCTATTATTATTGATGTGCTCCTTCACCCCCAAGTTTCGTCGGCGGGGGGTAGGAATTGTTGTTTTTGCGAGGGTGTTGGTGGTAACTTCCATCCCTCACTGACGTTGCCATTGCGGTCACTCCAAGTATGGTTGTCGCTCCTATGTTCGTTGCTTTGGTCGGGCTGCGCAGTGGTCGACGCTCGGTTATCGCACCGATCGTCGCTTCCACTGTCGTTAATGCGATTGTCTATTCGTTCTATAATACTAGACATCTCTATATGCACCATCGGAATTAGTAGACTTGCCAACAGCAATTGTACTATTAGCAGATACAAAAACATGCGGTTGCAGAAGTCGATTCGGCAGCAACAGCCGTCGCCAGCGGAGCGACAACAGTGCCGGTAACATGTCCTTGTGTAAAAGGAGGACTTCTACAGACCAGTCACGGCGTTTATCGTGACGGTTATACTGATGTGGTTAGTTTGCATATAAAATGACATTTTTCTTCAAAAATTTGCCTTCATATTTTCATAAAGTCTACATTTTTATGATGATGATGTTGTTGGTATACCAACTTCATTATGAAGTGCTTTCATAGCTATAATGGCCTTTGTCACTCCACTACCGCTAATTGGCAACTGTTAGATCCATAGCTTACAAGCACATCCTAGCAGTCGTCACCAGCACTGGTATGTTGTTGAGGATCTGTCGTTGAAATGATCGATTTTGTTTTCTATACGGTGATAACATTCGTCGACAGAATGACTACTGTCGGAAAGATGGCTGAATAAAAGTGGGACGAGGTTCATTGCTGACGAAGTTCTGAAGTTCGACAATATAACTTGCTCAAACTTCACCCCTTTCTACGGGTACGGCCCGCTGTTTAAGTGAGGACGCACTGGTCATGGTGTCTACACCCGGTCACTGCAGTGAATAGGCGATCAGTGCTAAACACCTATAAAGACTTTGCTCAATGCATGGACTTGTGAAGGTTGCACAATGTTGATTCATTGGAAAAGCAGTCACATAGAAACAGGATATTTCAGGATATTGACTAAGTTAAACTTAAGATACAAAGATCTGCTAGAAAGCTACGTCGCTTTCATGTTACTAAATTACCAGAATGTATATAGTAGTTCGGATCTGAAGGAATATTTCGTTTCGGTCAGGCAAAGCCAACTGACATCCAGCACTTAATTTCCCTATACGCGAGCCCCAACTTTGGGCCGTGTGTGCTTACAAACGTATGCCCATACCTACAAATTTCACGGGCATATAAATACAAACATGTTTTTCACTTTGCCTCTGTTGTCCTTTCCCGCCGGTTGCAAATAAGCTAATTCTGGGCTTTGATATATCAATGCTTCATTAAAGCTCAAGGACTGCACCCACGCACATACCGTAAAACACTTATTTATTCTATGGTGTATTTATTAGGCAAACTATTTCTTGTGATCTATAGCCCAGTTTGGTTTGTCACTTAATTACACCAGATCACTTCTGATTTAATTAGGTAGTATCGTAATCGGTAACTTTTTTCCTACTAGCGATGTATAATTGTTTGTGTGAAGGGATCTTCGGAAGATTAATTCCTCGGTTGTCACTTTCAGTGTTCATCATGCCTAGCTCTTTGCTCTACATAGATATTAGTGTATACATAACGTGAGTTATGTCTGTCGTTATGCGTGAGAGCCTTCAAATGCAATTACCGTAATAATGATGATAATGGCATCATTAAGATGGCTAAGATAATTTGTAAACCCGATTCTAGCTAGAAATTGCGCACTGAGCTCGATACGTCCAGGATGATGGTCGAGGATATATGCACGAAATATAGTTTCTTCGCGTTAATACCAAGGTCTAATCCGCTAACATTGTCCCTTCAATGTCCACTTCGTCGATTTTTTTTTCCTGTTCCGTTTATGTTATTTTCATCGTCCTGCGTCATTTTTAGAAAAAGCAGATTAGCGTTACTTATGTCCATCGGTAAAATGTCGCGTATGCAGTGGAGCTATGCTGACAAAAAAGGGTAAAGGAAAATTCCATCAGCGCATTGAGCCTTGGCAGACGAAAAGATTCCTACGCACCAACGACTTTTAGCAACGCTCATTTGAAAATCCGTAACTACTATGTTTCAAACTCTCACGACAAATACAGACATGAAAAAGGTTCTTGATACAATCGGAATAGGATCTCTACGTTACGGAAATTGTTCGGCAGTAACAATCCATGAGCCCTGTTCGATTTAACGTGAACGATTCTTATGTTACTTAGGTGCTAATTACTATCGAACGTTACATGCATAAGAATAATATACGTCTCAAGGGGATGGATGGGATATACAGATGTTTATAATGGCCCGTTAATTTTTTAACTTTTTAATTGTAATAATAATAAGTAGTAGACTTCCATTTGTTATACCTAATACATACTATTCGGTCAGATAGGTTATGTAGAGCTGAATTTCAACAACTTCGACTAGCGCACCTCGAACGTTACCACCGCGCTTATTGAAGCTAATAGGTTAATGTATCGGGCTTGCACAGCTCCAGCAACTACACGTGTTGGACCATCCACATGTTGAAAAGGACGTTGTGTAAAAATTGCCCGCAGCTGGGCTTTTTATAGTTCGCTCGTAGATATCCCTTTCTTATTTCGAGTCTTAACGTCTATTTGACAAGTCTACGGAGAGCGGTTAAAATTGTATGAGGCTGGAGCACACCGAACAAATCAGGTTGGAAGAACAGGTAGACGACACGAGGTTGTGAGAACGTTGACCCTGCCATATTGATTCATCGTTACCATCCTCAGTGATGGCCGTTGATACCACTTCAGGCCCATATGACGCGACTGGAAATAGGAGCAATAAATATATGAGATGTGCAGATTCATTCAAGTAGATTATTGAATTACGTTTAATTTGTATGTTGGCATGAAAACATGTACACTAGCATCGAATCGGATGAGGCAGCTTTTACTACTATCCGATATATCCCGGATGAAGATGCAATACAACAGATCGGACTAGAACGAATAACAACATCCAAGATGATTATATCAATCTATCTGTGACATTACAGGTACTCTTTTGTCGGTGCTCTTAATCCTTCAAGCGTAACCCAAGAGTGTGTAGAATGAAGCCATTCATTAACAGCGAAAACTGACAGCGGCAGTCAGTAAGGAGCTATCTTTCTCTATCCAATTTGGCGGACGCGGCCTGTCGAGCGTGTCTATTACTAGCACTGCGTAACGACACCGAAATTACCAAAGCGGCTCCATCAACGATAATAATATTCATAACTACAGCAGAAGCTTTATTTCCAGTAGTAATATACATCGTACAATTATAGATACATCCGTAACATGCTCTACACATATGTAATAGGGTCAAATGGAGTAATAACTGTGGTAATAGCAGTCAAACAGTAAATAATTTAGCCCTGTGCGCTATCTACTAATCTTTTATCCATTTTACATCTTGCCAGCGTCATCTATTCGTCTGGTCGAAATCACGAATCAAAAATTAGTAGATGTTCATAATAACGACGTCAGGACGCCAATGAACTGATACCTATCGCCGTGTTAACCTAGGCTAGGCGGCGACGGCAACGCCACACAATGACTATTATCATCGAATTAACTTCGAATAATAAAAATAACAATTAGTAATAATACTAGTACAAGGCCAGCTACCGAAGGTTCAGGCCAGACCGTTTGTTCTTACAGTGTGTTTCTTTGCCCGCTACTGTCGCTGGCCCGTCAGCCGTTCTGCATCTGTAGTAGCAGTTATGTATGTACTTCTACATAGCTATTTGTCCTTCCGCGACGCGTTGTTGCCGTCAGTCACTCTCCGGCGTTCCTGAGTCCGCTGCCAATATGATTGTCGCTTTTCATCTCTCGTTCTGCGACGTTGTGTCGCCCCTCCATATGTCCCAGCGAGACCACCATCGGCTCATATCTGTTAAAAGCTTGCCAATAATTGACAGATCCTTGGGTTACGGTCCGCTGCTGTGAGCTCGCGCGCCAAAGGTCGCAATTGTCGTCTTCTTCTTGATTACGAGAAGAGGGAGTAAAACGCTTGACGTAATAGTGGCATTTGGCAGCATTGCGGTAATGTCGCCATTGTTGCCAAGCGCGAGGGCCTGATCGTTTTCGCAGCTACACGCTGCCGCTAGCAGCGAGAAAGGCTGAATAGAGAACTGTGTCGGTAATAAAACCTAGCGACCACGATGACATTGGCTGGCTAGCAAAGTTAACGTTCCTGTTCGCTATTGGCCAGCGATCTCCAGACGTTTAGGTTTCTGAGTAAAATGCTGTTGGCCGCACTGTATACGCGGCTATAGATGCCAGTAGTCGATACTGCGCGATGGCCAATCTTACAACAGTTGTCAGCACATCCATTATATAATTGTACATAGTATCCTCCGATGGCAGTTAGACAGGTCGGCCCCACGACCTCAAGACATAGGCTTTTTTAGTAGTCGCTAACTGTGAGACTGTTCCCTTTTTTTCGCCTATTCTATGTATTTATGCGAACTCTTGCGGGACTACGTGATACTACCATAGCTAGCTATCCATACTGGCAGAACACTTACGTCCCACGATTTAAAAAAAAAAAATGCTAAAATTGATATTATGCCTGTTATGTAATGACTCCTAATCTCCATTTGAACATATAGTCGCGTGTCATAGGTCCAAACTAATATTTAACCGAACCGAAGGGAATCTGGGTTTATTTGTATCGTAGAAATATTGTTCTTTAAAGAAGGGCTGTTGTTCCGTGCTTTGTAGTTTGTTCCTAGATGGTTATTTCAATAGAAAATAGCATACGGAGATGTGAAGACGAACAGGACTCTCCTCTTACAATGTAGCAATACGACCAGTTCATTCGTTCTTCCATCCGTAACCACAGCTACTTCCTGCTGGAATCACGAGATCATCGCAGCCTACAACTATACACCGACAACATCGTGCATTACAAAAACGATTATATTCGCAAATTTAATAATGGAAGTTCCTTTGATGGGTACAAAAGGGCTGCGCCCAACACGGTATACCAAGACAGGCATTTCATATCCACATGCCCAGTTTTACACGCCAAGCGAAGCATAAATAAACTATACTATGATTAAGTTAACTCGGTCCGCCGATCAGTCCTAACAAGTACCTACTTACGTACAGTATGACCCGTTTAGATGTTTAGATCGATTTGTTGTTCCCGTTCGAGCTAGTTACTAGAGTCGGCGTGAAAGTTCATTTCTGGCTCTTTTGATAGCTGAAATAGTTTTCTATAGTAATGATTTGGGCTTTTCCGACGCAACGCAATAGACTGAAATTATCGTGTTTTGATTGATGATAACGCACAGTTCAACGACGGCATCAAACGAAAGGTGACCAACTTATTTAGATTCAGGTGAAGATTTCCCAACGTATTCATTGTAAATGAATCAGTTTATTTCCCACTGAACTACAATGCGGGCAAAGAACAATTTATGTCTTCGCCACCATTGGAAGACGGAGAACGAGAATGAATTTTTGGCAGGAGATAGGGTAGATGTGAAGACATCGCTGTATTTCGGCATAGAATGAGGGGATTGGCGAAATGTAAATCAGCAATTGTAGCTGATTTACGGACAACGTGAATGAATCACCTGTAGAATTATGCTGACCCCATATCGACGTCTTCATTAATTCAATTAGGGCATTTCCAAAAATAGAAAAACAAAAGGAAATCATCTATTTTTCTAAAAAATTGTGAGCATACCTTTGCAATTGTAATGCAAAAATAGCCCAGTTTGTCATTATACGTGATAAAGAAAGAAACCTACTTACAAACATATAGGCACACTGCGGTAACAACTTACTTCCGTTTAATGCAGGAACTGCGACCGGTATTAGTTGAACAGCCAGTGAGCTATCGGGCTGACACGCTGAGCGAAAAACTGTGTAGAAGACAATGACAGGACATGTAGTCACTGCAGCATGGAAAAGAAAGACATGTCAAGCAAAGCAGGCATGATATTTTTGTTGTCGACGTTTTTGGATGTACCACGCGTAACTAAAAAAGTCAGGCGTAATAGTAATAACAATAACAATAATGTATTATTGCTACTGTTGATGTAGTTATTAGTGGACGATACAGAGTGTTCATTAAGGTAACCATTTAAGGGGTAGCGAAAAAAAAAAAGACGTACTTCTTTTATATACAATACAAACGTTATGTGTACTAAATGTAAGATGGGGAATAGAGAAAGACAGCCAACAATGTTCAGCTCTTGTCCGTGTTGTCGTGTTAGAATCAATACTGGATCGCCGTTTGACAGCAGGCGACAAACGTCAATGTTGATGGCTATCGTCGCATTTCGCGAACCATTCCTTCATTTGAAGCCGCAAAAATAGTAGAAGAAGGGGAAGAGAAACAGGAACGTTTGTAAAAAAGATATAGAAACAAAGTTGTAGAGTATGTCCGCTGTTTTTCTTACCGTTCTAAATCATGCGCCAGTCAGAGGATGGACAAATATATGAATGATAGTAGGAATTATAACATAATGTTTTATATAACTCATTATGAGAATGAGCAGGATATGTACTTGTGCCAGTATTGTTTAGGTCACTAAATTCATTTGAAACTTAATTGATTTATGTCGTATGGCATGAAAATGTTCCTAAAGCACCGTGTTTAAATTATTCATGACCTCAAACACGGGTAAGTTATGCACTGTCAGCTGTTATTAGTCTCAACGTGATCGAACTGAGGACTGGCCAAACTGGTGAGACACTTTTCCTCAATGCTTTTTAGCTAGGCGACGGGAATATGATACAAACCTAAACATCGCCTATCTTTGCACGTTACTTAGCATGTTTAATTCCTTGGTGAAAGATCTTGAGAAGTCACGGGCTGAATCGTTCAATGCCGCAAAAGCTATCGATGAATGTGCAAACGCGGGGTGGAGGGTAGTTGGCGGAAGGGGCAAGGTGGCTGCTTTTATAGACGATCAACGAAGTTCTTTTCAATTCTACTCTACGAAAAAGTAGTAGTAGAATTGAAAGGTACCTAAAGATATAGATAGTATTTTATGCGATCATACCTTATAACCGTAATACGCTTATGCTTTGTAATTAACAATCACAAAATTGTCCAGTATGAAGCTGACAACTGGTCTCAGTTTGATTTGCTCTCGTTTTTCTGTGTCACCCATTAATAGATACGTTTCAATTTATTCTCTACGTACCTATATAAAAATCTACGTACGTACGTCTCTACGTACTATATAAAAATATTAATAAATGTATATAGTTATCCAAGGATCAGTACCTATTGTAATGTTAAGATGTATTATACTGATTTATAAACGAGAAGACAATCAGGATAGCCAATAAAAAAGTCGGACGATAATACTCTGTGCGTAACTTGTCAGCTGTGCAGGAATATGTTGCAGTCAGTACCTCGGCGGAATTACGTCCTGCTTACCTCTCACTGTGGATAAAAAAACTTCCGTACACGAAACCCTCGAGCAGGACATTACACCGCTGGGATTGTCTAGTAAAAAGAACAGTTATAAATGAGAGATCCTGTTTTTCCCTGCCTGTTGAATATTGTGGCGGTATTACAATAGCATACAACAATGAAAGACAATGGACATCTGGTGTGACAATTTTATAAGAATGAGAAAAATTCGCTAAATTCACGCGTATGCGAAGTGTTTGTTGTTATCAGGCTATAATGTTGACAGATAAACAATAAGCGCTACAGGAATCGTTTGAATTATACTAACGAAGTTCTTAAATATTTAAGTTCATACTAAGCTTTGTGGAAAGTTGTGAAGGAAGAACCTTTTGGCAGACTATGTGCTTTTTATTGTAGTATATATCCGGCTGACTCGTAAAACTTGTCCAACAAAAATGCAAATTAGAACTTTTGGGAAACTTTCATAGACAACTTCCACTAATACGGAAAAATGTACATATACTTGGTTATTAACCTGGAAAGAATTTTCTACGTGAGCAGTTATTATACAATAGATATTAAGCAGTAGTTTTTGTGAGGTTTCGAAGCGTTACGATCGTTATAAGTGTTTTGATATAAAGTAGAGGTAGATGCGCCTATCGATGTATCGTTGACATGTTCAGTTATGTTTCTGTTTCTAAAGTTGATATACTTTGAATTAATATAGATATAATAATTGCTGCGCCGTATCAAAGAGAATTAGATTCTCAGTACATTAAATATATGGGTATACATTTTATAGCTCTTATCGTGCTAATGAGTAATCAGCGGTATGTTCAGGCTTAATGATCGCTTATAAGAGCGCCCTGAACATTCCAGTGAGGGATTTTTTTAACTTTTTTAATTAATTTCCCGCTGTCTGTCTTATGACCTTATCTGAGTCATCCAATCTCGATTGAGAAAACGAAAGTCGTGACTATAATAACTACGCAGCCTTACGCAAGTTATCAAGTACGCTTGCTTTTAACCAACACTTTTGTAAATAACCTCTAATATGAACGCTAAACTAGCAAAAAAAAAAAATGCTAGGAGAGCCAGACGTAAGCACGTATACGTAAACAAAGAGAAAATGAAAGAGGCCTTGAAATGTAAAATGTACTCGCGTAATCATGTCTTTTTTCGTTTTCATATAGAAGAGGCACGTATTTTCCTCTGGAATCTATGCTCAATTAGGAATAAACAGTTCCGTTTGTTCCGCAATTTGCCTGTTCTGCGGTTTGGTTATTCCAAACGTACTTTTTTTACGTTGAATAGTTTTTCGTCTCTGTCGCTTTGGGGTACCACAGGATAATTTTACTAATAGTAAACAAAGTTTTCTAAGAAGACTTTGCTATCAGCACATTTTCGCGATAACGCTACGGTCTGGCCGAAATCTTCAGCGACTCGAAACGCATTACTTAGAATCACAAATCGTACAGAATTGACCATTCGCTTTGTAGCAAATGTGTCAACATTTTCATTCACGATTGGCATCCACTAAAACCCTGCTTACAAGCAGTCTTCTATCTAAGACGAGCTGATTTAGCCGAAAAACAATAGGAGTAACATTGTTGATAGCAATAACATGGCGAAATACCGAGAATGAATCAAGTTCAGAGTGAATTAATACGACATTTTTTTCGTCTTACGTAGACTTTCCCTCATCTTGGTGTTGTTTTAGCTTCAATCAGACAAGATGGACGTTCACACCCTACAAAAAACAACATATTATGTACCTCAATAGCATTTTTCTCGGTTGAGTGGGCCTCGTCATGCTGTTGATTGATACAACAGAGCACAATAAAATAATACGTATATAGCCACACCTTCGGCATGTTTACGTTCAAGTTCCAGATACGTAGTCTACGCTTCAGTAGTATATTTCAGGTTTTTTAAAAACATTGAAATAGCATCGACTTGAACTTTGCTTAATAAAAAGCTATTGCTGTACACCCTATCATCGAAATGTTTAACGTTTTCATTTGCTGATATGAAGTCTCGTACACATGAGCACATGAGTAATTATGACCAACACAAATAGACGAAGGTTGGAGTTAATAAGGCCTATATGTACATAGATTGCAATGCAGAAAATTATTCGAACTTTTACCCAAGCTTCAATGTGGGTCGAACGTCGGCTGGGATTCAACGCAGATATGGGTTCAAGTTTCTTGCTATAGCTGTGCGGGTCGACTAAGCGAAAAGATCTTCCGTATTTCTATTCGGAATCTGTTGATCTTAATATAACTCCGGTTTTTATATCTCTGTTTAACTTTTCAGAACGTGTCCACTAGAACGCCGTTGCCTCGTTGACAGGGGGTGCGACTGCCAACCGATGGGGTGCCACTGTCTGGCCTATTCAGCGCTACTGCTCGCTGTTCTGGCTTCGGCGGGCGCCGTGTCTTGTCCTCCTATTACATTGCTCGGATACGACTGTGAATGCATAGAAGAGTGCGTATTTTGACGCAGAGCTTTTTTGCTTGACAAAAGACATTTTGTTTTAGTACTTTACGATTTATCACGTTTTTCACAGAGGTGCTGTATATTTTTCGATATTGTATCTGTTTTGAAAACTTCATAAAAGATCACTCTAATTGAGTTACATATCTATTGGATAAATTGTTTAGAACATTTTTATTTTCTTTAGATATTTCCAATATTTCCAGATTTAAAGGTAAAACTATTCTTTAAACATATTTAATGCTTATTACGAACATTTCGAAAATTGTAAATGGTGACCGAGGCAATTGTTACTAAAATAAAATTTGATTAACTGTCAATTACACTATACGAGACGTACTATAAGTTTAGAGCATGAAGCCTTCTAATAAAAATTCCGGTCCGGTCAGACCTTCCAGTAGAACTCTAAAACTTGCGTAAAAATAATAATGGCCTACCTTTAGTAAACCCTACTATATTGAAATAATTTCAACAGTATTCGTTTTTGGGGCATGCTGCGATTGTTTGCAGCCAAACTTCAACTACTGAGAGAAAAGAGTGACTGTGGATTAGAATTCTTCAGTATCAGTACTGTCGTTTGTTTATGGTGTATTGGGTCTGGACCTGTTCGAAATACACTCTGAGTAGTACATATAATGATCGGACGTAACTGATTTCTGGAATTCAAGCAATTTAAAAAAGCATCTGAGTTTTAGCCCGAACCCGAAGCTTGATGCGTTGTAATTTCTCCGTCGGTGTACCTGCCTCACCACCGTTTTAGTTAACAATTGTCCTAAATATCAACGGCCGCCAATGAGAACCATGATAAGACATTTCGAAAGGAAATTATGCGCTTTAAAATACAGGATAACCGAATCTATGGTGGGAGCAGATGTTGCTCATAATAGTCAAAAGCAATTAATTGGTAGTGTACACAAATTAACGCAACAGTGCGTATAAACAGATTTGCTATACCTATTGAACTTCAATAATGGCGCCTTACCGCTGAGTTGCAACTGGCAACCGTGGCAACAATTTGTCTAATAATAGATACGAAATCTGTACCAAAGCGAGTCACGATTTCTCCTCGCAAATTCTATTGCGAGCTCTACTGGCACTGATAACACAGCGTTTTCTTATGCAATGTTTAGAGTGGAAAGTTGGACAGCGAATTGTTACGAGGAAATCAAAATGGATTTGTCGTTGGATCGTGGCAGCAGCCCAGTTACGGCCATGCCCACGTATCGGCCTCTAAGCAGCTCCTTAGAACAGGTCATATTGACGACAGTAGAATCGACAAATACAGTAATGGCCGGAACTTCACCGCATCATAAAGAGAACGGTTTCATGGATCTGAGCGTGGACACGAACGATGGTAGCCATAACGGCCTGGATGCAGAGGATAAGGAGGGAACACCTCTACCACAACAGGCGTCAATGGGGCGTCGGGATGATCGAAACGATCGAGTGCCGATGGTTGTAGACCCTCGGGGTCATTCCAAACGAGAGGAGAGAATTTCACACTCGAAATTGGACGAGAAGAACTCGCAGACTGAACATTTAGTAAGTTACATCGCTAAAAATGATCAGAGCCGGGAAGTTCTTTGCCGAGTAATTGAAGCAAGCAAAAAAAGTAGGTATAAGGTGACCAGCCTGAACGAGTCGGAGTAATCTAGCAGTTAACTCAACAATAGATAGAACTAGAATTAGCTTATTGGTGACGTTCATTGCTATCACCCTATGCATACTGAGATAGATAATCCTTCTTTGAAAACAAAAGTATTTAAAATGGTTTTAGGTAAGGTTTTCGTGTTATAAAATTTTTTGCCGATTAACAGAAGTGGTGAAATTTACAATGCACTCGTGTCGTTTTCATTGTAATAAATAGGTGCTTTGACCACTTGATAATATTATAACGTGACGGATAATCTTGACGAAAATTCCATTTTCGAAGGCTTAGATCTTTTGGAGCTTATGCAAATGACTTTGAGCATACAAAACAAAGACATGTATTTTCGCATGGGTCCTAAAAGCGTTTCAGAAGATAGAAGGGTGCGAAATTATCTGGGAAAACGTTTTTAACGAATACTGTTTCAGGTAAAAATACATGTGCATGGCGTTCGAAGTAAACGTGCTCAACTTACATCGGCTCACAGTTTTGAACTTTTGGAACCAAATAAACTAAATCCCGCCTTCAGTATTCGCTATTACCCAGGGACAACAGCTGGCGAGCTCCGGAAGCTACTGGTAATTAGTCTTCAGAAGTTATGTATGTTAAATGCGGCACTATGCATGTACATACAGTTCATAAATGTAAAGACAATATGGAAGTACAAGAATCTACCTAGCTGTTCGTGGGCAATTCTACTACTTGTTTCTAAAATTCACTAATCTCAACATATATGCTTTTGATATAAGCAATCTACCTAACTGTACGGAAATAATTTTTCAACAAATCCATTTCTTAGGTGATCTGTGGCACAGCAAATATGGAGATACGAGAATTTGTCGGTCATCTTGCTGTCAAAGTAAATATTTTTACTTTTGACAGCTGTTCGCTGCCCCAGAATGTAACTTTCGCCGATATATTGAGTATGTAGCTGGCGATATGCTGAGTTTATATGTTGTTTATATTAGGATTTAAGTTTTATAGTATTATCAAGTTAACATATCCCAAGGTAGAATTAATCTTTATGGTCTAGGTTCAAATTAGGTCATAAATACAAGCTTTGTTTCGTGCTAGGAACTAGCCAACCGTCTGATGGAATGCCTGCCCAACGGTAACACCGGACGTATAACTCAAAACATAGAGGTATACTAAAGTAGCTCTCCATGTTTTGAATTTTACATTCTCTGTCTATGCTCTATGCCTACGTCTACAAAGTGTATCTACGCCCGGGTTCAGATTTAGACCACAGCGTGTTCCTAAGATTAGCAGACAAAGACGGTATCCATTAAACTATCACAGGGATCTTAATAACTTATGATCTTAATATATTTAATGTGCAGTATCTCGACCTAAAACGTATGTTTCTATTTACGCGTTTCTAATGTTTAATCGGTCGATAAAGTGGATTCTTTCTTAGGACTCTAAACTCAGCTGAGATATTCCTATGAGTAGATGAGAGATACAGTCTCCGCACCACACAGATATAAAAATGTCTAACTCCGTCTTATGTGAATGTTCGGTTTTATTTTCACAGGAGGAAACATTGGAGAACTCGTCCAGTTCGAGATCACACGACCGAAGCTTTTGTCATCGACATTGAACAAGGCCCCTTTTGAACGACTGCCAGAATCCATAAAAAACTTACAAATAACATACAGCAACGATATGGGAAGACCGCTCAAGCAGTTTGAGGCCGGATTTTTTGAAACCTTCATAAAGTTGGAGTCGCTCATTTTGCGTAACAATGGTATTAGTGATCTGAAAGAGTTCAGGAATCTATCAGCTCTAAAGGAACTTTCACTTGTAGGGAATCCTTTGACTGAACTCAACCAATCCACTTTTGCCAACTTGGACAATCTTCAATGGTTACAGCTAAGTAGCTGCGATATTAAGACCATACATCCAAATACATTTAATCATCTGACTGGGCTTAAACAGCTGAATCTCGCAAAAAACAGGTTTAAAACCATACCGTCTAAGGCGTTTTTCGGGTGCCGCTCTCTTACCGACCTAGGCGTTGACTTCAATACTCTGACAGACGGTATTTCTGAAGAAGCGCTTGAAGGTCTTGCTGAAAGCCTTAACGAGTTCTCCTGTAGAAGTTGCAATCTACGGTCCCTGCCGAAGCGACTTTTCCACAGGGTACCGAAAATGAAAATCCTTCGCCTTTCCAATAACAGAATCCAAACTTTAGACGACGATGCATTTAGTCGGTCACAAAATCTCGTAGAACTTAGCATGCCGAACAATGATCTAAGATCATTGACTAACCGAACGTTTGAGAATCTTGAAGAGCTGGAAAAACTTAATCTATTCGAGAACGACCTTATTACTCTACCCGGTGGTATCTTCAGTCATAACGGGCGGCTCAAAGAACTCGACTTGACGGGAAACTCTCTTGAAGGTCTTCCTGACCGTCTTTTGGAACACCAGCTGAATCTTCAGACACTTAAACTAGCCAGAAACAAATTAAAGAACCTTCCGCAACTACTCACGGGGACATTAAAGGCTCTCGTCCACTTAGATCTCTCGAATAATTCACTGACAGTAATGCCGTTTCTGTATCTAACGGCCCTAAGAAAGCTCGAGGTACTCAACCTATCATTCAACAATATACGGAACATTTCAGTAATTCCATTCCTTTCGCCTAAAATTGATATTGATTTAAGCGGCAATCCCGTCGAACGTGTAAATGTTCTCAACAGGAAAGACCTTAAAAAAGGAGGTATGACATCCGACTACTTAGAATTGTCTAATGGCGCTAATCGGCGGTATTTCCTTGATACTAAGAGTCTCATCTGCGATTGTCATCTTCTAGAGTTTCACTCTTATTTGACTAAGGATAACGAGCAGGATTTGGGTTATTTTGAAAAGAATAATTTAGTGTGCACGACAGGGAAGAATATGGCCGGTATGAATGCGACTGACTTTACCTGTCTGGTCGCCGAAAAGGAGGGTTGCCCTTCAGAACGCTGCAAGTGTTTCATAGAGCCATCGAACGACGGTTTTGAGCGGCTTAGGGTTAACTGCACAATGGCTGGACTTAGATCTATCATAAGACTACCGCTTAATGTAACTGACCTCGATTTTCAGTACAACAATATCACCGAGATTCCTTATCTTGCTAATTATACCCAGTTGAAAAACGTAAACTTTTCAAATAACTACATTAGCGACATTACCAGCTTCATCATGTCGGCTCCATCTACGCTTATCTCGGCGTCATTTCGCAACAATCTCATTAAAGAAATTGATTCAAGAGCCATCAAGGATCGGCTAATTCAATACAATCTAGAGTTGTCTGGTAACTTGATGATCTGTAATTGCGACGCCGTACGGCCGCTGGCAGAATTCGTCATGTTTAATGTCAAATACATACCTGACAGGGAGGCCATTGTCTGCTCCGAATCGTTTCCTGCTGGCGACAGCCATGACACGCGATTAATAAAATATGATCAGGAGTTCTGCCCGGCAAATTTGCAACAACAGCAGAGAAAAATCAATACTTACGTCGGCGTGACAATTGGCATCGCTGTCATATTGATAGCGCTCATTGTCTTCTACTATAACAACCAGAAGCGAATTAAGATCTTTCTCTACATTAACTTCTACGACGTGTATGTCGTGATATACGGACAAGATCTCGATGGAAAGGATAAAATGTACGATGCTTTTTTGTCCTATTCTGAACACGATGTTGATGTTATGGACGCGATTCTAGCCGAACTGGAACGTAAAGACCCTGAAACAAATGAGCAGGAGTTTAAGCTGTGTGTACATGGACGTGATTTCGAACCTAGCTTACCTGTTGTGTACAACATTCTCAACTCCGTGCAAAATTCACGTCGCACCATCCTTGTACTATCAGAGAAGTTTGTCGAGTCAACTTATTTCAACGTCGAGTTAAGCACCGCCCTCAGTGAGATGGCATCTGCCACCGAGCATCGGCTTATTATTGTGCTCAAGGGCGAAATGCCACCGATGGAAAAGATGGACAAAGATTTGCAGAAGATAATCAAAGATTACACTTATATCAAATGGGGATCACGCTGGTTTTGGGATAATCTCCGCTATGCGATGCCGCATAAACGCCCGCGGAACAGACGCGCTCGCCGGCATAATTCAAGGGATACACGAAATGAGCTGGATCACTCGACTTATATCCTAAACAAGCATTCGAAAAAACCGACGGCAACGGAGGTTGCTCGTAAGCAGGAACAGCTTGACAATGAACGAAATCGGCTACGCTCAGCACGTTCAGCGACGGATGACGATGGGCCTTCAGTTATTGGGCAATCAGACAAGACCCAAGATTCAGTTGGGCGAGGAAAAATCCTCACGGGACAAGTGAACAACGCATTTGAGCTTTTGAACATGGATGAAATTCGGGTACATTGTGACTCGATTAATGGAGATTCATTTCGAAGCAACGATAGCATGCATAATAGCGGAGTAAACTTTTCTCAGCAAGAGCTGCCATCCGAAGCGCCCAGACTAGCGTCAGCAAGGCACCGTCCAAGTGGCGTTGTGAGGCCACCAAGACGAAAACACAGAGATTCTACAGAGGCTTAACTAATCACGACAATATCTAACTGTTGTAAATATTTATTATAGAGAAAGTGTCACAAAGACGTTCCGAAGGTCGTTCTGTAATGGTCCAATTATTCATATCAATATACCAGTAATAGTCAGTAGTGCAAACGATGCATTAACTGGTATTGAGGAAGCCTTATTATTACGCTTTGTCAGTAGACGGACGCTATAAAAACTTTGTCTCCAATCAAAACTGAAAAGTTACCGCAGCTTGTTCGCCAGACGAGACCGCACTCGCTTTGAAGGCTGTGTATTAGACAAACGTATCGTTTTATATGACACTTCGTTGTTCTCTTTTCGTCTACGATGGCCATGTTTGGAGCAATTAAATCAACGACAGTATGATGATCGGAGCGATGATAGTTACGGGTGTGTTTATGTATATAATAGTGCTATTGTAAATATGAAAAGGCACATGCCGAATGGGCGTTCTGCTATCAGGACAAATAAAGCCCCATCGTTATACCATGATTAGAAAAGTAAGCTGTGTTTCTTATAGTTTTTATATCTTGCATATAAACGGGTTGTTGATGAGGTGACAATAATAAATATGATAATGGTATGGGGACGTAGATTGAAACGATATATTGAACGTAAAATTTTCTATCTGAAGTCTCATAGACGAACACTAAATAGTAACGCTCGTAATTAGGTAGCTGATTGCACAGTTGCTAATCCTTCCCAATGGTCCAACACGACAGAATTTCTACATACTTTACGCAACATATGGGATAGTCGTTTGACTTTTGTGTTTGGCAGTACCGCATGTGGATGTTTGATATGAATCCCCCTTTAACTGCAGTAGCTCTTAGAGTCGACTATTACTGCTTATATATGAATAGTTAGAAAATAAATGTCTTCTAAATGATCGGCCCAAGATCGACCATATATATATATATATATATATTAACAAGTTAGGGTAAAAGTTGCAATTTTTAAGATGTATCGCGCTCATTCTGAGCAACTTATTTACCTGGAATCAAATTGACAAACGTATTTACCCATGCTGACCATTTCTGTACAGCTGCAAACATACATTTAAAGGTCCTGCGCTGATAAGTTACTATAATAACGTTTGTATGGACCGTACGATCTACGGTGGAACACTTAGGAGTGATCGACAAGTGTCATAAACAATTAAATTATCATATGTTCAATGAAAGCTATGGAACGCACCCTCGCCAATTAGAAGTCGGTAATAACTGCAACGTTTAGCAATAGATTTGGGGCAATAGACGAATTAGAGGCTTTAATTAATCCGCATACGAATTATATACACTTTTTTACGTTACTTCGAACTGGGATCTTCTGCTCGTGCGAGAACAACCGAAAAAATAATATTGGTCGGTATTTTTAAGTTCTAAAGGTAAAATTACGGAGGCCGCCTGGCAGAAGGCAGACACAAGCTTTTTCATTCAGCTACGATAAGCGCGGAGGGAGTCGTTCCATTCGCTTCGTCTATACAAATGCTTTACTTATACGTCAAATTAACTCGAGTTGTACAAAACCTTTCTAAAGTCATAATGAAATAAACCACAACCTAGATCAGAAGCCTAACAAGGTCTTAAACAAGAGCACAGAACCAAACAAGAAATAAACCTATATTTCGATCCCTATCAACGCCTTACTTGCATATAAAATGCCCTAACGTGTCTACCCTTTAACAGTTGCGCACTCTTGGAAAAGCTAGCCACTACCATCATATGTTTGTAGTTGTAAAACCAGCACTTAGTTAACTTGGATAATGAACAATACGGTATACGGGACCCGGCCAGCTTCTTAAGCGCTACGATTGTCCGTACATAGTCACCATGTATTGCTGCTGATCAGCCCAGCATAGCAGTGACGCAATGTACTGTTGCTTTTACGCCCTGAAAAGGAACTCGCGTAGGCGGACGTAGACAAAGAAAGGGGCCGTCTAAGTCAGCCCAGTGCCGATGGCCGCTGGCGGGACCAGTTCCGAAAACGTGAAAAATATATCGGGCCTTTGAAAGAAAGAGCCCGTGTCTGGCTTTTGACAAATAAGACCAACTAGATATAAAGCAGTTTCAGAACTATGCAATATACTTGTTAGTTAAATATATAGATATAACTGTTGATGACAATGGGTCACCTGAATAAATCGAGACGCTGCTTGGAACGAATCCAAGTTAATCTGCTACCTATATCAACGGTATTTTAGAGATGAAATCTGTGTTTTCTTATCCAATTAAACAAAGTAAATCTTGCTAATCATCACTATGTTTACGTTATATAAGCCCCAGACAGCAACGGCCCCAGCGTACGGATACAAGGTACAGTGAAGGCACTCGGATGAAGGGCCCCTCCCCAGCGTTCAGGCGATACCAAGCAGTACATGCTAACTTAGAGTAGGGTCAGGAAGATGACAGCTGGCTAGATAAACTAGTCTTCAAGATATCCTAGACCTAAATACATCAGCTAGTAATGACCAACGAGTAGCTACATGACAGTGCAAAGCAAACGTTGCTAATAAATTATATAAATAACCACCATTTAAAGTTTAGATCCGATCTGCAGTCGCTGTGTCTAAAAAAAAATATAAATAATAGCTATGCATACGCAGATGGTTCCATGTTCAATACTCACCTGTCGATGTAGGCGAGACTGGTTTTCGGTAGACTTTAAATAAACATTTCGAGTTTAGCATGCCGAACCGCACCAGCAGTACATCAGATGGCCAATCACCTGGCGGAATAGTTACACAGGGCCTCGTTTCAACACACATAACCAGATTGAATTACGGTATAACAATATATATATGTATAGTATGATAAATAGCCTATGAATATGTCACTGTCTGTATTCAATGGAAAATATAACAAAGAACTATAATCTAAATCCAATTTTTACTAAAATTATATATGCGACGCTGTCTGCTTTATATACTACTGCCGTTGAGCAAAGATGGCCGACAGTGTTATTTTACATTCTTATGGTAATTTACAAGAGTCACTTGTGTGAAGGGCTAGCGTATTGAAGAAGATTCGACTATTCGAAATGCCCTAGTCGTATGAAGGGTAAATTTGTAGCAAAAATTTGGCTTTGTCTCCTTGTAACTTTAGGACTGGATGTTTTGTAAGCATGGACAGCTTCAGTTCATCCATGGAAGAACTGCTATGCAGAGGTAACTGTCATGAAGTGACCGCTTCATGAATCGTCACTCGGTCAGAGGGTCTCCACTTAGGAAGCTCTGGATCCGTCTCGTTGTCTTACAAACGTGCTTGTTAAGTTGTGGAATCAGGTACCGTTTATAAATAAACAACATGTGAAAAGTTGCCAAGTTTTAACTTCGCTGTAATAGAGCGTTTAACAACTGTACAATTAATTAATTGTTTCTTCAACTCGTTGGCGCTCGATCAGAACATGTTTAATGGACCTTTAAAGTGATCTATTATTATTATTATGACTACTACAATTGTTTTGTGCTAGTAACGCTCATTAAGTGAATATACTGTGATGACTTCTCCTAATTGTTACCTGAAGCATATTGTTTTAACTGCGATAATTGTAACTGACTTGACCAGCTAAATGTTTTATAAGAGTATAGCCCTAAATGCGCCCAATTGTGCGCTCCTACGACGTTTTACATGGCGCAATATAGACGTTTGCAAACCTGAAGTTCGTAATTGCCTTCGCGGCACCTTGGCTTGCCATGCTTTCAGCTACGAGTCCCGGAGCTGGTTCAGATCCAGTTGGCATATAGTTCGTATACTTTGTACGCTTGTGCGTTACACAGGTCCTTCTTCCGTGATCTGATCCGTACGTGTGGCGTCAGTACCAGAGAGTGCGGTCCGCCGTTGGCGTAGCCATGGCTGCGGGTAAGGGAGCTTTGGTAATCCTTATCTAGTGCCATCGCGAACTCTCTTCGGTTTTCGCCGTAGCCGTTGCTGCGCGGATAAAAGCGATCGCGTCTGTAAGCGTAGCTTTACTGTGTATCCAGGGTGCCTAGAAGCCCTACGGAGACAGACGGACGGATTATCATATATATATATATACATATAGAGAAATAGCTACATATCTACCGACTCAATATTTTTTGGTGAAAAACTTAGCGGAACTTTGGAATCCAATCAACAACAATGGTAAGTGTATATTGTGAACATTTCGTTATTGTGTAAGTTTTGAGCAATGGGAAAATCTAAGCATCTTGAGTTCGATGACAGTGTAGATCTCGTGCTAAACTTAAATATATACTCAGATGTTAATTTTTTAGCGTGCAGATATCACGGCTAATATCTAATATATTTCAATTAGTTAGAAGCGAAAATTGGTGAGTACTTAAAAAACAAACCCATTTCTGGGGTGCAATATTTTATTATCTGATAATCAACATTTGTTGTCAAATCGAAAACCTATGAACGTACTCTAAATTGCATTTGGATTAGAGCTGAGTACCTTTTTGTGGCTGATAGAAAACGTTAATTTTAATGTAAAAATCATGGTGAATATAATGGCTAGCGTGTAAACCTCTGACTCGTACAGAAGGACATATCCCAGCCTTGTTTTTTTTTGCTATTAATTTGGCTGTTTTGAAAATAAATGCTGCGCTGTGCGTGACAAGCCTAAGGCTTCCTATATTCATCTATTAATATCCGCTATATATTTGTTCCAAGTTATGTGGATACCAGATGTTGTGATACATGCACCTATCGTGATCTGGGCCCTTGTGTAGCCCATACATGAACACAGGAATTAGGCTTCCAGGTAAACCTTGTAAAACAACATGTGGGAATTTGCTATACTGGTCACATCCGTCCAAATTAGGCATCTCTCTCTCTCTCTCTCTCTCT